ATGAAACAAATTAAATAGTCACATGCTACCTTCAAAGAATAAAATTAAAAAGATACATGTATGTTGTCGACAGAAGAGCTTCCTTATCTTGCAACGTTAAAAAAGGAAAGCTGCCAGTGCTTTCAAGTGCTATCAGATCGCGATATCCAAAGCGACCTGTAGTTGGGGTTTTTTCTGTTCTTCAATGACCCTGAAATTCCTTCCAACTGGCTTTTTGTTGGAAGGTGTCACTGGTTTGTCCCATTTCTCGTCTTTATCTTTATTATTTCTGTTTGTTTCCGCTAAACGAATCGGAGTTCAAGGACGAGCAGTCTGGGATTCGAAATAGGACAGTCTGTAATGTGGGTGGGTGGGTGGGTGGTTGTTGGTTTTCTTGTTCTTTCCTTCTATTATCTATCGTCTCTGTCTTCCCTCCTTTTTTGTGCCTGTTACTCTCTTGTAACACCTCAAATCTTCGGCATTTATATGACCGTATAGTGTTGCAAGTGCGTAAAACTCTTACTAAAACAAAAAATCTGCTCCGAAGTCTATCGTGATACCATAGATTCTCAATTAGTAAGAAAACCTTTGGTGATACCGACCGAGCTAACGTAGCGCCCTGTATCACTGTTACTGCGAGTAGATCTAATGCTTGTGTATGGTTGGCGGCGACTTGGCGGGTGCTCTGGTGTGGTTTGCCCGAGGCGCTATTAAACTATTTTACCAGCTCGGGTTTGCCCCTTCTTTCAGCAGGCTATCAAACATCTACCGCCCTCATCTCTCCTCCTTTTTCTGTTTGTTTTTACTCTGTTGTAACACCCCTGATCTTCAGGACTGAACGATTGGTTTTCAGGGAGCCCCTGGTAGGTCCTACTTCTTTACCTTCCCACTGTTGTTTTTCTGTCTGTCTGTCTTTTTTTGTTTTTGTAAAGTGTTTTACGGCGCTCGCAACTGCATAGGTCATATGAGCGCGCGGGACACTCCTAATATTTTCAGTTGGTAGGAAATTTTGAATTTTGCCCGGGTGGCGGCCGAAGCCTACTCTTATCGATTTTAGACCACCAAGGGATCTTTAACGTGCGCAACTTG